CGGTTCAAATAAACTGGCTTCATTAAACTGCTGTTCCAAAGGTTGCACAACTTTGTGAGTGAATGCGTTTAGCTTACAGGTTAAATAAAATCAGGCTCCCTATGCACTGGCTGTAGATCTTATTATTTGTTTGTTTGCAGAGGATGATAGCCAATTCTAGAATGTAATAATCAGTGTGATTTGAAACATTGACTATATGGTAACAAAAGGCATTACAAGACAGGAAAAAGTTATTGTAGGATAACAAGGAGACAGCAACCCACTCAAACCTTCAAAAAAGATTGTTCATCGTGCTGGTCTATTAGAACTGAAGCTGATCCTTGTGTGTTTGGTATTTGCACTGCATTAAAGGTAAGAAGGCCTGAGTCACTCCGCAGAATTCAGGCACAGGCAAAAGTGAATCACCTCTGACTAAACCACCTGCAAGCAAGAAGCTGAAACTGCTCAGCAGTTGAGGGGGAAGCTATGTATGTGTGTGCCTTCTTTCTGTCATGGCACACGGGCAACCTCCAAGCATGTCATTGTTAGTTTGAATCCACATGTATTAATAACTGATTTTTTTTATTTATTTTTTTTTCACCCGCAGCTTCATATGAAAGCTGAAGGAAATGAGATTCCTGGTGAGCTTTGGATCAGGCCCACGGCAAAGAGAGAATGTGTACGAATATTATCCCTTTATTCATTTTAGGAGGTTGAAGGTCTTTGCCACCCTAAGCCATGACCAGCTGTGCAGAGAGGGAGTCATAAAAAGTCCATGTGAAAAAACACTTTTCAGAACATTTGTAGGTAGCTTTAATGCAAGCCCCATGCTTTCCTCTGAACAGTATGAATGATGATACTTGCAGTGCTTGGATCAAAACATCCCTGATTAAAAGCCAGTGGATCCCGGTGAAATTAGTTGGAACTGCTTTCACTAAGCAAAGATGAGAATTTAGCTTTGTCATGGTTTAACCCCAGCTGGCAGCTAAGACCACGCAGCCGCTTGCTCACTCCCCCTGGTTGTGATGTGGGAGAGAATCAGAAGAGTAAAAGTGAGGAAAAACTTGTGGGTTCAGATAAAGACTGTTTAATTAGTAAAGCAAAAGCTGTGCATGTAAGCAAAGCAAAACAAGGAAACTATTCACTGGTTCCCATCAGCAGGCGGGTGCAGCCATCCCCAGGAAAGCAGGGCTCCATCATGCGTAATGGACAAAAGCCATCACTCCAAACATGTCTCCCCTCCTCCTTCTTCTTTTCCCAGCTTTATATACTGAGCATGACATCATATGGCGTGGGATATCCCTTGGGTCAGTTGTCTCAGCTGTGTCTCCTCCCAACTTCTTGTGCCCTCCCAGCCTGCTCGTTGGCAGGGTGGTGTAAGGAGCAGAAAAGGCCTTGCCTGCCTAGCAACAACCAAAAATATTAGTGTGCTATCATCCCTGTTTCTCATCCCAAATCCAAAATGTAGCACTACACCAGCTGCTAGCAAGAAAATTAACTCCTTCCTAGCGGAAATCATGACAAGCTTGTATATAAAACAAAAAAAGATGTAAAGTCTTCAGGTTCTTATTTTGGAGTTGCACCAGAGCAGTTTCTGGCATTGAGATTGTTCTCCATCCGTCTTTTCAATGAGGCAAGACCAGCAAAGAGCGTTCAGTTAAGGTACCATCTCTTCTGAGCTGTCAGTCATTGACAGCCCTTTTCTTGTGTTTGGGCAGTAGCAGGCAGCTGCTTGTGATGGAGCCTGTTGCCCAGAGCGTGAGTAGACGGAGGCTGTTTGCCTTGTGCTTCTAGGAAACAGAGAAACCAGGGGTGGGTGCAGGATGATGCAGTTCTGGAGAAGTCTGCTCAGAAGGTGCATCCTGCAGCAGCAGTGCCGTATTAACGCTGGGGCTCATGGGACTGAGGCTCTGGGCTTCCTTTTTGGGGGGCTTTTGCAGCTGAATATGCTGAGATGCCAGCACCTCATGGACTGGTGCCTCCCAGGTCCTACACAATGATGGTGTCGCATGTGCCCAGCTGCAGGGGATGAAGGTTGTTACGTGTGATATGTATCGAGCACCAAGCCCTTCAGGGCCCCTGCAGTAAACCTCTGCTGGGTTGTGTGAGTTCTGCAGTGTTCAACGCATAACTGAAAATATTTCCACAGCAGTGACACTTGTTTTCCCATTCCTGAGAGTTGCTGGCAGCCCCCAGGACATCAGCCCTGTGCTCTCTTCATGTTGTGGTTTGTGCGTTCTCTCAGCTCTTTCATGAGAATCTCTCCATATATCAGTCAGAATCTCAACGCTGCCTTGAAATCTTTTCTTTTTTAACTTTTTCTATCTCATAAGCATTTTGGTTGATAAATGGTTCTATAGACCAGAGATATATACGCTCCCGCACTCTCATATGTGGTCTCATCTGTTTGGATTTTTGGTTTGATTAATTCTTGTTGCTTCTTAAGGCTCTTTCTGAATACAGGCAGCCCACTTGGTCTTTAGGTGTCTCTGCGTCCCGCACTGACCACCACTGTTTTGGCAAGTGGTGAGGCTATGGCAACCTGGCACAGCTGGTTCGTGGCTACTCAGAGGTCCATAAGAGCTGTCAGTCCAGTTTAAAGGTTTGTGACTCGGAGACGTAGCAAGAACTCTCCTTTCCAGTGTAATAGGGTTACATTTGTTTTTCTTCATATCTAAATGATTTGCCTTGTCTTTCTGTCTGATGGCAAATTTCATGTTTCATTTGCTGTAAACTCTCTCATTCTCCAATATATGCCAGGTTTCAGCACACAATAGATTTTCCTCATTATTTCAAAAGTAGTGTTATCAATAAAAAGAAAATTAAAAATGTGTCCCTATGATTTGGAGAGAAAAATAAATACACTGACGCTAAGATTTCATCCCAATTAGACCCTGACAGTAAGAAATACTGGGGGGGAAAAAAAAATTCACAAAGTTCCAGAGAATGTGAAATAATGTTTTAAAAAAAAAAAAAATCAATTCTTCAGCAAGTTTTTCTGTTATTTTTCAGGACTATTGTGAAATTTCTTTTTGTGTGAGATTGTTTCTCATAATAATTTTGTCTTGTAATGCTTCTTGATTACAGCTCACGCATTGACAGTCAGACTGAGTTTCTGAGTCCTGTGACCCTCTGGACTTTAAGCCCCTGGACTTCAGCTTCATTGGCCTCTAATATGTAGTATTTACTGATTCCTGATTCTTAGAGCTGCCTTTGCAAACATGTGTTGTATGGATTACTTTAATTTGCTGTCCATTACTTTTGGGGGGGAGGGGGGGAGTGGAGTGGGGAATGATGCTTTCCTACTTGCTACCCTCCATGAGATGAGATATCCTTAACGTTGTAGCGACATTGTGACCCAAGGAAGTGATTGGCGCTGACCATAGATAATGAAAGCAGGTGACAAAATGTTCATAAGCAGTTAATGGATGTGAACGTATAAGTTGCAGGCGCTGACCTAATCTCTTCTGGTTTTGTGTAAACTTTTGCCAACAGATATCCGTAATAGTAAGGAAAAACCTCCACGAGGCATAACTTAATTTTCATATAATCTTGGATAACTTTATGTTATCTCTTACTGGTTTATTCAGCACACCAATTACAAAAGCAAATAGCCTATGCGTAACAAAACTATTATCAATACCATTTAGCATACTCATTAGAAATGGCTTATTGGAATATGAATGTGTATATTATTTTTTAAAAGATCATTCTTTGCTTAGAGTACCTACTACTAGTCTACCACTGAAAACTATCAAGCAAATTACCAGATGTCAACTAGTATGCAAATAGCCTACTGGATTGTTATAATTTCAAATAAGTTTTAATATTTTCCCACTGAACAGAAATGCCGAATTCTAACGAGTTCTGGTTTGCAGCAATGAGGGAGCTGACAACAGGATGAGGTTGCAGCAGGCAAGGCTGGGTTTCAGCAAAACCTGTAATTGAGAGGTATTTTGATACCTACGTAGAACTGAATTCTCCTAACTCAGTTTCTCATACCTCAAAACATCGTGTCTCTTTCCGAACATTGCCTTGGCAGAGGCTAACCCTGGTTCGAGCGATTGACCCGGCACTGCTTTCTGAGGGGCAGCTTCATAACGTAGAATAGGTCAGTAATGTGATTAGTAAGAAACTTTGTAAAGCAGCCAACATCGTTAGTCTAGCTATGCCCTGATACAGGGGCACCTCCAGGTTGCTTATGTACACCAGTAAAAGTTGTTAGACTTCCCCAGTACTCCAGACACCAGAGAGAGGGTTTCTTTTGATGCACTATGGTTGAGTACTCCTTCCCCTTTGTACTTTTACTTTGGTGCTTCAGTCTCATATGATTTTATTATGAACCATTTCATCGTACCTGCTTTTACAAGATCAAGATGCGAGCTGCTTTGGAAAGGCATTTTATTTATTGCTGGTTTTGTTATTCAAACATGTAGACAGAAGGGATAAAAAGAGTACATGGGTAGTTTAGGCAAAGATTTACAGCTTGATTTTGTAGCACAGATGTTTGTATAAGCCTTTACGTTTTGGGGAGCCTGGGTTAGCATACCTGTTCTGAAGTTTCTCTGTCTCTGGGTCTGCATGATCTTAGAAAAGATAAAGCACATCTACTCTTTGCGTGCCACCTTTTCCCTGTGAACTTTGTAGCTGAGGCTTAGCATCTCTGAAACTAATATTTCGGTGAACTGGAATTTCTCCATATTGTAAAATCCACATAAAGATGGCAGCAACTATTTCGGACTTGTTTTGCTGCTGTAGGGTTAACAGTTGTCCGGGAGGATGTACTGTGCCCGATCCCTCTGCGGCCGTGTCCTCCCAAGCCACTCACTGGCCCTGCGGACCAGCAGCACCAGCATCTGCCGCAGGCGGGGAGTGGGCGAAGCACTTCTCCAGCAACACTGTGGCTTCCCCCCACCAGCCAGGAGAACGATGGGTGGGAAAGAAAAGTTGCTCCCAGCCTCAGGCGGCTCTACGCAGTCTTCTCCTCCTGTTAACCCTGTGGCTCGTTTTGCTCCCGGCAGTGCTGCACGGGCAGGTGTACCGGTTTTGCACCCCCGAGGGGACGTGGCTGCTGAAGGAGAATTCGACCCTGCCCTGGAGGAACCTGTCTGAGTGCGAGGCCTCTGACCAGGTAAGAGTTTCGGTCTCTTATTCTGCTGTTGTTGTTTAGGACAAAATAGAAGAGAGAAAAATATAGTCATTGATGCCCATGCGTCTTTGTCCTGTCAAAGTAATGGTTACCAACTCCTTCTGGGTGCTTCACTTCAGTGAGCCCAATGGTCGAAGGGACATCAGGCCTCTCCCCTTCAACAAAGGGGACGTGGAGGGTAGATGAGAGCCAGTTTAAATGTCCATGAGAGCCAAGAGAAGCGAACCAGGTAGTCCCGGTTGCGGTGCAGTGCAGGGGGTTCAACTGTAGCCCACCCCAACCCGCTGAGTGACCGAATATTATTCCTTTGTCTTTTCTTCCATTGGCACATCATTACAGTGAATTGACAGTTTGTTCTCTCTGTCTTGTTAGCAGCTATTAAGGTGATTAAGATGAACTGAACTGAAGGATATTTGCTTTTCACCTTTCAGGCAGGGGGCAGTCCCTGCTTTTTGTTTGTTTGGGGTGTTTTGTCTTTTTACCTCAATTTGTTGCGGGCAATGGAATTAGGCTTGTCAGTGTTATTTTCTTGCCCTAGTGCTTTATACTCTGCAGGGAGCTGAGACGCCTGGCATGGAATGAAGGAGAGCAGAGGGATTTCCAGGGGATTTTTGTCAGCCATTGGCGTCAGCTAGTGCAGGGTGTGCGTTCCCATGACACGTGATACCGTTACTGCTGTGCGCCTCCAAGGGCGATGCTTTTCCTCACCTAAATTGAGTGCGCTCTCTCAGTCCCAGGGTACTGGGAACTAGTACATACCTAGCCGAAACAGTTCAAGTATATGAAATGCCCAAGTGCTGCAGGATCTGTGTCCTCTGGAATTCCCGTTGCTCAGTGCCTTGTTCTTCAGAAGGAATAAATGGCTGCAAACTAGAAGGAGACAGGAAAAGAGATAGTTTCTGATTCTCCAGATGTGTTAAATTTAACTTTATTCTTTAATTTTCAGCCTTACTCCTTGTCCCTTCCACATTCTGGGGTATCCCAGCAGAACGTGTTATCTTAAGTGTAAGCCTAGTCATTTGATTTTTCCCTTGTTTGCCGTTACGGTTTCTTCCAGAGCTGTGTTGAGACATGCCAAGGAGAGACATACCTAATGGTAACACTTGGTCATTTGTCACCTGCCTCTAAGTTTCCATGAACTGATCTTGATTCTGAAACCCTGCGTACACGGTGTAACTCCCTCAAACGTGAACAGCCGTGTTTGGTTTTCCAGCTAATGTATATAGAGCCCCCTAATAACCTACTTTGTGTTATGCATCTTGTACACGAGAACAAGCGGTTGTTTTGATAAGTTTGCTGTGTATTATGTTACAACTGTTGCTAAAACAAGATCCAAAGGGTTTGTGAGTGAATCCTTATAAAATAACATCGCTTACTTTAAGTGTGTGATGTTGGTAGATGTTTTAAATTTTCAGGTCTGAATAGTTTGCTTGAGCTTTGATACTGAAGAGATTTTTCTTTTCTTTTTGTAAGGCAGCTCTCATATCATTCTTTTTAAAATATTAACCTAGCAAATCCCTGAGGGTCAGCCTGTATGTTCATCTTAAATCCTCCCGCCTGCGCAAAGTACATCTGAATAGCTGTACTTATTTCTGAAGTACAAGGAGTATATTCCTTTGTACAGCACAGGTCTTGGGAGTCAATTGCAGAATTAGCAGCTTGAAGAAGGGAAGTAAAATGCCTGAGTCTATTTAGACAAAGATACATGCTTAGAAATGAACGAGAATATGAATGTTCCTCAGAACCTGAGCAATAAGCCTGTGTCGCCAGTAACTTTTCAGATACTTCTCTTCTCCCTAAAGATTTTGGCCAGTGCTTTCAGGCAAGGGTCTCAGTCGTTGTGTCTTCAACAGCGAACCTGGAGAGAGCCACAGCCCGGGATTGTCAGGGAGGTGTGAGCATCCCTGCTGCCCTGGCCCATGTCAGCTCCCTCCCTCCCAGGCAGTGGTATAACACCTAGCTCATGAGATGGTGTTGGGCTATGGTTTGGTACCAGAAGCTTGCATAATTGGGGCAGAAGAGAGACTATTAGGGGGCAGAGAAGAGTTTAGTTATATGAATGCAAGGCATGCTTTGCCTCAGTGTCAACAAATGGGACCTGGCTTGTTAGATTTCTAAGTATAGATGTAGCTAAAGGACCCCTCTCGTTGCAGCAGTAAGGAGACTTGATTTAAGTGTTTAAGTCTGAAAACATCAGCTTTGCCATTTTTACTGCAGGGCTGAGTTGTGTTTGTGCTTCCTGCCATCTGTTTAAGACTCGCTTGTGTGGTAGTTTATGCCTCTCCAACTTTATTATGAAATAATGTCACATTATCTATTTTCTAGCCTGGCTGCAAAGCCCAACCATTTGAGTGAACACCTGGGAGCAGATGGGGAATTAAGATTAAATTTTTGTTTCTTCAGAACATACGACAAGTGGAAGACTGATTTGATGTATGCATTTAAACTTGAAAGTAGGAGAATGACTTCTGGTTATCATTAAGAAAAGTTAGAAAGCAGCTGAGAGAAAAGAACTGAAGCCCATGAGCTCTGTCTATTCCCCCCTCCCTCTTTTTTTTTTTTTTTTTATATATTTTTTTTCCTTTATATGCTCTCAGGATGCACCGGAAGAACAGCTCCTGAATTTGTCCATCATATACACCATCGGATATGCTCTTTCCTTCTCTGCCCTTGTAATAGCAACTGCCATTCTTCTTGGATTCAGGTAACTGGCGAAACTCTGAAGAGAGTGGAGAAAAGGTGTTATGTTTTCCTATATGATAGTATCAGATTTTGACAGAATCATTTGATTATTCCCCCCCCTTCTTCTATCACCTCGTTATTTGTCTACCTTATGTCATTTCTGTGACATTTATGTCATCTACAATGATTTCTTCTCAAAATGCAAGTAAAATTCCTGTATTTTTGCAGTGTTACCAGTATAAATATGTGAAACAGATTCTTTTTAGCAGTTGAAATATTTTGTTGTGATATTTTTTTATTTCGATGAAATTTCCACTGGAAGAGATGGGAAAAGACAGATTCCAGCATTCCCTCGTGTTGTCGCTTTGCACATGGGGGCACTAGCTGGGTGTGAGAGGATATTTAGGACAGAAGTTTTCATCTTGTCTTGCTTGGGATTGCACAGCGCATAAAGCTCGGTCTGGCCTATTTCCTAGCCCTCACATGCAGGGTATATTTCAATGCAGAAATTGATTTTTGATACAATTTCTCTTTTTGGAGAACTTTCAGAAATTCTTATTTATTTTGCAATATAGAAGAGAACCTAATTTTGAAACTTGAAAACCTTCTGTGAAATAAATTGCTGTCATCCGATCAGACTGGCACACTGGGTTCATCCAGGGATGCACCAACAAATTGCATGGAGTGCATCAAAATTAAGAGACTATTGGTTGCACGTGCCAATGCTACACTGTGTAGGTTTGGTTAAAAAAAAAAAAAAAAAAGAAGAAAAGAAAAAGGAAAACAACTCTGGACTCCAACAGAGAGATGTATTTTTTTCCCTCTGTAAATGCAAGAGGTGTCTTGATTCCAGCCAGGCTTTCCTGCAGTTTGGGGATACTGAGCGCAGGAGACTGATATTTAGAAAATGCAAAGATATGATCCTGCTCTGTTGTGGGAAAGAAGTCCCCCTGCCATGAAGCTGTGCTCCCTGCTGCTGTGCATAGCCAGGGCTCAACATCCTTCTTAAACACTGATGGGGCTGCTTCCTAAAAAAGTATAGTTTTCCGTCTCCTGATACTCTTATTTGAAATCATGTCAGGTACCTTCAGTGCTCTGATCCTTAGGAAACTTTCTTCCCTGACTAAAGAATTATTATTGCCAGTTAATGATGATTTTCTCTGGTGCCAGTACTCTCTTTTAGTGTGCTGGTCCCTCTCCTTTCTTTCCTCCTAAAGTGTTTATACCCCTTACATATTTGAAAAGATAAGTCATGCCTTTTAGCTTCTAATTTCCAAAACTAAAATGACCCGAGCCCCCTAATATTGTACCACACCTTTTAGCATTGTATTATCTCTTCTCCTACCAGTGGAGGAGCATAGGCTGGCGATCTCAAAGAGGATTTAAAATGACTACGGAAATGCAGAGACGTGCTCACCCTCTGTGAATACCACATGATAATTATGCACGTGTTGTACCTGTGCAACTTTGGGACTCATCTGACAAAGCACCAGATGGTCCTGAAGTCTCCAAACGTCTCCCAGAATAAGTGCTTTCTCCTTGTTTCACCCATCAATGACACTTTTTTAAGTAACCTTAGCAGCCCAAATGTAAAGGTCACAGAGTGCAACCACATACTTTTTGAAGGAAGAAAGGATGTGCATGTTTTTGGCAGGGAACAAAGGGCAAGTTTGTCACCGAGGACTAGTAGGAGAGAGGGCATTTTGATGCCTTGACTTTTGTAGAGAGATGCTTTAGTATTTTTTCCTTTAGCAGGGACTGGGGAAGTGTACATGAGTGTGCTGCTGATTTTGAAAAACGAGGTTTCAGAGATGTAAAAGGGGCCGAAGAGCCTTGTTAATACTATGCCATCAAACCATTCTGTGCTTTCCTGTCTAAATCGTCTATCTGGAGACAACTTGGTCCTGGATCTCATGAAATACGTGACACCAACTCCTACGTGGATTGCAATGGCTGGATTCTGACTGGAACCTCTACTCATGGCCTCTCCCCAGTAGCTGTACAACCTCAACAAATGCAGATCAAAATTTAATTCAATGGCACCAAAATGCTAATATTCTCCACTTTTGTAATAGGAAGGCCTTTTAAAGTTTTTAGACTACAGAACAACCTTTGTATTTGTTTTTAATAATGATACAACAGAGGAAACAGTATATCTCTAGTGTCCAATTTTGCATCCTCTGAAAGAAATGGAAGAAAAGTCTGTAATTTCACTGATGGAAGCTGAATTAGGTCCATAACTTCACGACTGAAACAATTTGAATAACTTGCATTGCCTCTAGCAGAAATACTCAATAACTGCTTGCAACCTATTTCCTTCAATTGGCTCATTTACATAATTTTTGCAATCAGATTTAAACGTGTAGTAGTTCTGAAAGGTAGCAACAGATACATTTTGAGTTAAGGGAAAATAAATATTAATCATAGGTAAGTTTTGAAATAAACTATGGCTTAAAAGTGATGCAAAAAATTCTATTTGACCCATGGAAAAAAGTTCTCCTTCTTATTTGGTGCAAAACTGATAACTTTCAGACCAAGTCTATTTTTCTACTCAAATTTATAGAACAGTAAAAATAGACATGTAAAGCATAAGTTCACTGAAGCGCTTGCTGGAACCGTTGCTGTTTATCAATGTTACCTGTATCTTTTAGCAGCAAAAAAGAATCATACCCAGTGTAACTTCCTTTGAAGCAAAGTGTGTACCCTTGCAGTACTGGAAGAAAAAAGTTGGTGGATGAGGCTGGTAAAACATTGGCAGCACTCTGCAGTTGGATGCCATTTACATGACTGCAGTTTCTTTTGCTCTCCCTTAATATGCTTTTTTTTGACAAGTAGCAATTTTATTGTCTTTGCGGCTGGATGCTGAAATTCAAGAGGATTTTTTTCTTTTTTTTTTGGGTTGTTTTTTTCAATTCTGAATGCAGAGGTAAAAATTCTGTTCCTTTTAGTTCTACGGAAAGTATTTACAATTCCCCCAGGAGGCAATTTGAATACAGATTTTTCTCTTGTTGTCAAAGCGGTAATTTACAGGTGGATATTTTTTTCACTGTGGGCTTGAGCACAGCCAGAAGCTGTACTGCACACCAGTTCCTGAGCCTTGTCAAGGTAAACCTGTGCAGTGACATTGGGGTCAGTTCAAAGAGATTAGATTCAGCATTATGTGAAACTTGACTTTTTTAGTCCTTTCAGATGTGTCTTCTGAAAATGACTTTATTTTTACACTTTTAAAATTATTTTTTTTCCTTACATGCTGATCTCCTTCCTTCCCCCAAACATTCACACTTAGGGCTGAAGTTTTGAATGCCTTTTCCTTGATAGTGATTTCTTCCCAAAGACAGTTTGAAATGCCTACAGCTGTTCTCAAGTTACGGGTTTTCCTCTCGTACCTCCTGATTTCCAACAGGGCTCACTGTTCCCTCCCTCAGTCTCCTGTGATGTTACAGCTTTTGCATAGCTAGTGGATCATGACTGGTTCTCCTTTTTTACAGACATCTGCATTGCACGAGGAATTATATTCATCTAAACCTCTTCACCTCTTTTATCCTGCGGGCTATATCTGTCTTCATTAAAGACTCAGTGGTGAAGTGGATGTACAGCACAGCCACGCAAGAGCACCAGTGGGAAGGACTTATCTCCTTCCAGGTAGGGGCAGACACTGTGGTGGTTCTCAGGATATTGGAGTCATCACTGTGGTGTGTCTGCATGACGGCAGGTAATTTCATTTTGTACAACGACAGTTGTACAAAATGCTGTTCTTCAGTCCATGAAGTTTCTCCAAAACTTGTAGCACAATGTATGTGGTTGTGGTTCTGCCAGAGTGGGCTTGGTACAGACAAGTAGCTGATGCCATGGCAAGTTTCTCTGCCCGTGGGAAGTTTGCCCCTACTAGACAGTGGAAACATGAAGGGGTGGATTTTTTGACATGCATACAAACGCCCATATCTTGTTCCCATGCTGCAGGTTCATTTCTTCTAGCAGTGATGAGAGGGCATTTGTTTCCCTAAGCCAGCGCCTTTTGTGATAGGACTGTCCGTCTTGTACAATGACCAAATTAGTTGGTCGTTCTTGGAGATCTTTATAATCTGTTAATGACAGAAAAAAGGGAAGCATCTGATTAAAATGCAAATTTGAAAACATTTAGAAAAGCTTTGGAGGAACAGGCTAATTAAATACTTCTAATCGAAGGAGAGGATATACAACTCTTTTGTGAATATGATGAAAGCACGCCTTTCCCCCTTCAGATTTGAAATACAAAATGTACTTTAATCTTCAAATAAAAGGATTTTCATTATTAGTGTAGCTCTCCTGATTTCTAGAACATGGGGACAGTGTTTGCTGCTGCAATACAGGGTTGTGGTCATAAAGGGTATATTTTCTGATGCATGCTTAGGACCCCTCCTTTTCTGACACCCTGCCTAAGGCTTAAGCACTAATACCACATAGTGAATCTCATATGATGGTTGATTTCTTCTCATCTGCAATGTATCAACTGGCAGAAAATAATACTGTAATACATATCTTAAATGGTTTGGAAATGTTCGCATTGGATTGTCAGTCGTTCCCTCGTTTCAAAAAAGACCCTAGGCTTTATGCTTTCACACATGGTTTATCCAATAGTGGTTTCATCAGATCTGATGGAAATATTAATTAGGTAATCAGGTTTCATACTTATCTAAAGCCCTGCTGACCACCTCTCTGTAATTTACCAGCCAAGAGAGATTTTTGCACTTAAATGTGATGCACTGGGCAATATTGCTGTTCTATCAAAAATCTTTTGCTTTGGAAAAGAGTCAACTTTATGGTATCCACTATTTGCTCTTTAATAGAGAAATTCTCAGCTGCAGAATAGAATATCTGGGGAAGTGAAAAGATTCACTGACTGCACTTGATACAGTACCTTTCACTTGCTCTTCTTTTCATCTTTGTGGTGTGCTTTTCAAATTATAATTCATTGCTTATTGAGGGGAAAATGCAGAACATGTAATTTTTCTTTTTTTTCTTTTTTTTTTAAAGGAATGCTGTTGAAAGCATCTATCTGCTGTGTATAGCACCTATTGCTGTCTTCTGTCCCTTCAGTACTCAAATGTGATTGATTTGGCAAGCGTTGTTTTGAGGAGCAAGTGAAAGCAGCAGAGAGAACCAGTCTTTTGGGTTAGCATCCTTTGATTCTCAGCCCCTGTTGCATTCATTTGGGCTGTCTTTTCTTCTGTCACAGGAATCGCTCAGCTGCCGCTTGGTCTTTGTGATGATGCAGTATTGTGTGGCTGCAAACTACTACTGGTTGCTGGTGGAAGGCATGTACCTGTACACGCTGCTGGTACTTTCAGTCTTTTCTGAGCAGAGAATTTTTCGGCTTTATCTCTGCATTGGCTGGGGTAAGTTGATCTTTTGGTATGTCTGCCCGTGGCTGCCTGCAGTGGCAGATGGTATAATAGGGAGAAATGTTGTCTGCCTCTCATAGTGCTGCCCAGTTCAGGTCCTGCACTCCCCAGTCCCTTTTTGTTCCCGATCCCTTAACTTCTTTGATCTGGAGGGTGCTGGGCCAGCACGGCTCCTGGATGCTTTGCGGCATGGAAGCTGTGGGTACATAATGTGGAGGCGGTGCGGCACCGCAGAAACTCCCCAAGCCGGTGGCAGCCGCATGGTACTTTCCCTGCAAGATGTCAGCTTCCCAAAACAAAAGATGTGTGGGTGGTTCCAGGTGAGCGTGGGCTTTCCTGGACTGCCCTGCTTCATCTCCTGATGGCTTCCCTGTTGCACTCAAAGATGTGTTAACTACTTGTGGCACAAAATAGCAGTGATACATCATATCTAGTCAAGGATAGCAGTAGAGAAATGGTGGCAGCATGAGCTCAGGGGATGCAAAGGGGCTGGTGAGCAAGGGGTGGCTAACAGGGAGTTGTCAGGCTCGTTATGTGGGCAGAGCAGGCCGAGTAATGATTGTTGGGCAAAAGAGTGGTCAGGGTGCACATGCCATGGGCATGTGTGTGCTTGAGATTAAGGACCGCGTGATGCTTTGAAATCAGTTGGTTAAGCCAGAGTTGCCTTCCGTAGAAATGCTAAAGCTTCAAGCCTTTCACTGTCCAGTTAGGCTGAAAATATATTACTGTTCAGGATTAATACTATTTTTGGAATGATCTCTTGTGTGCTTTTGTTGCATTTTCTCCCTTCTGCTCCTCTCCTCCCTTCTACCTTGCCTTTTTGTGGAAATCGGGTGACTTTTGAAAAGCTGGAAGTAAATCCAAGTAAATACTGCAAGTGCTTTCACAGATACTAGTTTGAAATTTAAATTGCTTTGACTGTCCTTCTCTCTCTATAGATTTGCCAACTGTGAATATTCTAGCAAATTAGTTCACTGGTAAAATGCATATAAATGGCTTACTGTGAATTACCTAATTCTACTCAACAGCGATATATGAGGTGCAAAGGCTTTTCGGCATATTGGTGGGAATAAATAAATGCAAGTATTAGCAGTTTCCTGCTGGAGAGTTTTATTTTAAAAGTTCTGTGTCTTCCATTATTGTTTTATATAGGACATGCGGCAAAAGCAACAGCATCTTGTATAACATTTGAACCGTGTATGTTTTAATCATATTTTATGAATAGCCGTATCCTCAATTTAAAAAAATAAAAAAAAAATAAAAAAAAAAAAAGGAGGGGGGAGCTATCCTGAAGCAGAGTGAGGTCATGAGAGGAAATGGAAAAGAAATTAGAGCAAAATTATATCTAGCCAAATCCTGTGGGTATTGTGTTGTTTTATAAGGGTTAGGATGGTTTTGATCTGAGTCACTTCTAGTTACAGTTTGTCTGCTGCAAAAGCAGAAACAGAAGATACTATTATTTTTTTTCCTTTACAATGGAAGTTTTGCTACCGTATGTTGAATTTCTGGATGAATTTGTGGAAAAGAGTAGTAGTGCCAGAACTTCACACTGGATACATGGGTTTCATCTGAGCTTCCTAGAAGAGCTCTGTCTGTGCCATTCAGTTCCCATCTGTACAGTTTCTTGCTATTCCAGCCATGGCTGCATGTGCAAACCTTGTCAATGGTTCACCATCTTCAAATGCAGAAGTGTCTGCTATTTCAGTCCTCCCAGATTAGTTATACCAGATAACAATTTCGTCTCTAGCAGGTGGAAAAAGATGGAAGATTTTTTTTTTCCCCCCACTCTTTCTCGCTTCTTCAGTGTTGATTCCATTTTTTGGTGGCTTAGGTCCCTCACCAGGTGCCTTTCTGCTGTATGCAATGCTCAGCATGTGATGAGCAGCATGACAGCCTCAGCGTAGTGCCGAGACTTCAGAGAGGCAGTAGGTTCTCGTTTGAGCTGAGAGAGTCCCACTCTTTGAAATAGTTCATCAACTGTAAAAATAAAGCTGGATCAAACAATAAATATCTATTTGATTGTCAGAGCTGATTTGATACCCTGCCCCTTTGTTCTGTTAATGAATTGTCCTCTTACAGGATAATTTAACTTGTTCATTACTCAACAATTGATGAATACATATGTTTTAAAATTTCATATATGCACTGTTCACAAACTTAGTGGGCGTTAAATAATATTGTTATTTCTTCTAACAGACCATATAGTATTGCTTTTGCTGTCTGAATAGCTTCTACAATCGTCCATGCAATCGCATATGTTTGCACTTGTACTTCTCTCAAATGTACATGTGAATAAAACTATGTATTCTCCTCAAGGTTTTTGTCCACCTGAGTGTTTGCACATACTCTTGGTCATGATGTTTGCCCTGTTGTACTTCTTTCGAGGAATAGCAGGTCTCAGAACAAACAAGAAACTAGAGCAAATTATTCCCTCAGGTAATTCCAAGGAAAACTGTAATGTAAGGGTGAGCTTTCAAAGAGGTAGAAATGTCCCCATACCTGTTTCTCTCCAGGCTTTTAAACTGCTATATTAAATAGTGCTATATTTTGTTATAACAGGAGAAAAAGTCCACGTAATTGTGTAACAAAAAAAAAAGTACCTCTCCCATTTTATGTCTAACATGATCATTTTATCTCGATTCAAAACATGGGAAAGGTAACCTTCCTTTTCAAATAGAAACATGTAAAAGATACCATACTTAGTCTGTGTCTTCCTAGGAACAGTTAGCAAACAGTGAGGAGTGTAAAGAAAATAACTATATCTCAAATATGTTTTTGCTATATGATAATTTCAGGTCAGTTCTTGATGTTATTAGACAGTATTCCATTTAGTATCAGTTCAAATGAGTAATTATTCTTTGCTGTTGAATTGTTTTATAAGGGGAAAAAACCCTGTTTATCTTGTGTTATTGTACTTTGAAAAAGCTAGAAACGTTATAAAATCTTGATAGGCCTCAGGAAACTAATGTAGTTTTACAAACTGGGAGTTGTTTATATCGACATCATGTATATTGATAGCATTGTATAACCCTTCCTGATTACTTGTAACTTTATTCCTGTAATGGCCACTTTCTTGCCAAGATTTCACGCCGTGCTAGGCTTTGAGATGGCAGTGTTAAATTTTTCCTATTTCATTTAATGTGGAAAATGCCTTGCTTATGTCTTCTTTTTCTTTGTAGAAGCAGACTTTCATACATTTGTGTCAACCCCGAGTTCACACATCTTACTGCAAAAACAATGGTTTATGCCATTTTCAAAGCTGATTGGGGGGGAGAAGAAAAAAAAAGGCAGAAACACTAACAGCATCAACAAACAAAATTCTTAATAGGCTAATGGCAGAGCAGGTAGATGAGTTGTTCCCTGCAGTCTGGAGGTCAGCACAACAGCAGCTAAACAGGATGTTGATTCAGATAGTCATTATCGCTTGCAGGAAAAAAAAAAAAAAAGCTGTTGCTGGTGTTGGGGACACCAACTCACTGTTCGTCGTGCCTGAGCCCAAGTGAAGAGTGGCTGAGCTTGACGTTGACTTCAGGCAGCTGTGTCAGTGCTGTACGAAGTAGTCGCCGGAGAAGAGCGGGTGATATTGTAATGCTGCTGTATGCATCTTTGAGCAGCTTTTAGAGGAAGAAGGACCTGTTCGCATTCACAAGGGGGAAGGAAGGAGGAATAGGGAAATAATAGCAACATCCCACAGTGACTGTGCGCGACATCCAGGCGGGAAGAATGACAGGAGGAGACAATTTTCAGCACTAAAGGCTAAGAAGAAAATGTTAATGAAAAGCTAAATGTTCTCTGAGCTTCTATGGCAATTTTACACCCAGCTGCACTTGCAGCAGGGAAACTGCCATAAAAAATAAATAATACCCCTCCTTCCAACCCTTGGCAATCCAAACTTGCTCAAAGGAAGAATACTTTGAGGGAATGAAGCTATTAAAGGCAGGAAGCCTAGCTAGGGTGGCAATCTCCGTCCTGATTGCCAGGAAGATCTGACTGGAACAGAGTCAGTAAGAAACCTCCTTCTGAAGCCCAGTATGAACTCTGCAGCAACAGGATGCATTCATTGCACTAACCATTTCTTGTTTGTTTTCAAATAAAAACTGTTTTTCACACAAGGATGTGAAAATTGGTTTTGTGTCCACACTGATCCCGGTAGGAAACACATCTGTCAGGAGTTACTCTTAAATGTCTTCGCTCTGTCTTCTGGATTCAACTCTTCTGCTTTTTATTTTTTAGAAATAAGAACATTTCATCTTCTCACATCTTCAGTGCTCTTACTCTTTCTACACCTAGTCATATTTATTTGTCACGTCTTTCAGTTCCTCATCACATCCTTCTTGCATTCATACATCAAGCAGTTGATCAAGTCAGACCATCCTGGATGGTTTCTGAGAGAGGGGAGAGTCAGAGTTCTTCTGACAGCAGTAGTGTCCTTCTGGTTTGTGTGCCCGATTATCTCAGACGTTGAACTTCTCACCACGTGGAAATCAGTGATGTGAGGTTACATCTGAAATAGGAGCTCATACACAAACTCATCTGTCCTAAAATGCTGGATTCAGAAAGTGTCCTTGTTTTAAGGGTCTTGGCAGGATGGCAGTGCTCTGGTCCTACAGAGACCAATTTACTTCAGGAAGAATTTCCAATCAGCAGGTGAGGATGAGGGGCGCCTCTCTTGCTCCTCATGCATTTTTCTCCCCTGAAATCGCTTTTATGTACAATGCAAAGCTAAAAATATCGTGCATCTGTAAGAATGAAAACTTGCTTGAACATCGAGGTAAGGGAAAGGAAAGGCGGTATGGAACAGCACCACCTGGTGACACCTTTCATGGTAACTGCTACTTAGTGGACTCCAGAACAACCCTGAGCTTTTCTGTTCTGTTACCAAAGTATCACAGACCCGTTAAATGGAGAGAGCGATTTCTACGTGCTGCTACCAGGATATGGTAGCTTCCATTAGCAGCAACACGAATTGCTGTCCTCTCTGCTCACTAGGGACAGTGGAGCATTGTGAAAATGTCAACCAAATGGTGGTTCCTGTGTGGAATTTCTCAAGCTTTCTTCTTCTACCTACCCCATCTTGTTATCATTCTGTGTAAGGTCTGGTTTTTCAATTTTTTTTTTTTTTTTTTTTTTTGCTATGCAGACACCTGGCCAGGTGTAGAATATGTAAGCTAGAGTGAAAATAAGTAGGTTGTGCTGCTTATTTATGGGGTGGGGTGTTAAGGTGTTGATTTGGCCATTCCCTTTCTCATAATCTATAATATATGTTATTATCTATAATTCAGATGCCCTGTCGTTTCAAGTTGAACTTTTTTAGCTGAGCTGTTGTCATGCTTATTTCCTAGTACACTTGACAGATTTCATAATCACAATGTAGTGTTCAAAGATTTTCGGTCACTTCTCAGCCTGCAAGAGAGAACATGGCAAAGGCTATTATGAGCAGCCTGTTGCAGTTTCTGGCACCTTCAGCAGTGATGCAGTACAGACAAAAGCAGGCATTACCATTTCCTGAATTCAGAGACCTTTCCGTGGTCAGTTGATTTAGGAAAACATCAAACTTGGAGCCTTCTGTATGACAAAAAGCAAAACCAGAAAGAGTTCAGCCTATATTTTAAACAAGTACATCCTATGAATGGGTGCAGTTTTTTTCCTCGTATTATACTCTTTGAATAGCAGCAGCAGGAGAAAGAGGTGTATGACTGAAACTCAAATGCCCCAAAAGAGCTGCATGTTGGAAGCCCAGGACTGGAATACAATGCTGATTCTGTTAATGAACGATAATCATCTGTAGAGTTTATTCAAGGAGCTCTATACAATTTGCTTCCACTGCCTGCTCAAGTCAGCCGAATTTCTCTTGACTGAGTGAAGTAACCAGAATATTTTGTGCCAGTTACTGCAGGTTCGTTAAGTGTTGAATTAATCTACAGAGAGTCTCAGTGATCCTCGTAAACTACAATTATTGCAGAGGTGCTGCAGGCTTACTCTTTTGCTGTTGTGGGTTACTTCTACAGACTTAAGGTGGATTAGGGAATGTTCTTGGGACAGTCTCCTCTTTAGGTCTTAACTAGGGCTTTGAAAAACTGGATGCATTCCCATCTGCTGACAGCGTGTTCCAGGCAGTTTTTAGAGCCACCCATTTCTTAAGGCACAAGACTGTGAATTCAGCAGTTGTCAGATGGTGTCCATGTAGAATTTGCACTGATGTTCAAAGCTTACATGTACACATTGCGCTGTTAAGTTGGTGTCTCAGATTAAAATGTGTATTGCTAACATGGAAAATAATATGAATGATGGTGTTGCAACACCACGGCACCAGTGGCCT